ATTTCTCTGACTCCAACCTCTGATTGAGTGATATGCTGAAGCAACATCCATATACCCCACATTCCCCATACCTCTCATTCCATCTCCCACTTGTGATCCCTGGAGTGTACTTCTTCCTCTTCTCAACCTCTTAGCAGTTCAGCTCATGTGTCACTTCCTGTGGGAAAACTTTACTTTATTCCCCCGATGGTTAGTGCCCTTTCCCTCTTCAAATAATGATGTATGTAGTATGTATATGCTTGTGAGGATGTGATATATGTAAAATGTATATACACATTTGTGTGCACATGTAATGCATATGTGTGAGATGTACACAAATGAGACATGGGTCAAATGTATACATATGTGCATCACTTGATCACTTGCTGTTTAACACGTTAATGTATCCCTGGCAGACAAACTGTACAGTTTAGCTAGTGTGGGAAGATGCAAGTCTTACCATATCACATGACTTACTCATGGCAGGTTGGCCTGCCCACCTGCTTCCCTTGTGCCCATGGCTCTTCATTGGATTCAGTGACAATACTGTTAGTACTGCAGCGCTCTGGACAAACCACACAAGTCGGTTTTAGGAAATATGCTGACAATGTTCACATGCTGAGAATTCTAGGCTTGCAGCTCATAATGTGCAAGAGATAAATGTGTATCCATATACCATTAGTGAATACATTGCTGTTATGTTTACCTTTTAAGTGGTATGACGAGCAGAATTAAGCCATGCAATGATTATGCAATGAAAGGCTATAAACTAATTTTTAGACTGGAAAAAAACAAACAACCAAAAACCAAAAACTCCAGGTGTGATGATTCTGTGGTGAAATGTACTCTACACTGTGTATGTTTGTATGTGTATGTATAATATATATACACATACCTAGAAATACATCTGCTTGCAGGTTGTACTCAGTAGAATATCAGCTCCTTGATGGCTGTATGTATCTGTCTGTTTTTTAGCATAGTGCCTTGTACATAGTAATAAATGCTTATTTGTTTATTTTCTTGGAGGCAGAGGACAATTAGAAAGTGTTTGGAAGAATCTGAAATGCATTGATTACTTATATAGCCAAGAGTACACTTGGGATGAGGAGACAGCTAGGTGGCTCAGTGGATGGAGCACTAGGGCTAAAGTCATGAAGACCTGAGTTCAAATCTGGCCTCAGGCACTTACGAGCTGTGTGACCTTGGGCAAGTCACTTAACCTCTATTTGCCTTAATCCACTGGAGAAGGAAATGGCAAACTGCTCTAGTTTCTTTCCTAAGAAAGCCCCATGGATAGTATGGTCCACAGGGTCATGAAGGGTTGAACATGAGTGAATAACAATAATGACATCTTTGAGATGAGTAGGAGACAAAGTTCTTTGATGGCCAAGGAAGGATTAGACTTAGGTGAAGAATAGAAATAGGGAACTTGAAATGCTTGAGGACCAGTCAAGGGCTTGGGTTGCATAGCAGAGTTTGGAGGGAATTAAGTGAAACCAGTAAGATTTGTAGATGAAGATGGTAAGTCCCTAAAGCTGGTCCATGCCTCTGTGATTGACAACCTAGATTTGGTTTGCCTCCTCAAGACTCCGTGTTCCTTGCTAGGCAATTAGGTGATGTGGTGGATAGAGTGCTGGGCCTGGAATCAGGAAGATGTGAGTTCAAAACTGGCCTCAGATATTTACTACCTGTGTGGTTTTGGGCAAGTCACTTAAACCCTTTTTGCCTCAATTTCCTCATCTGTAAAATGAGCTGCAGACAGAAATGGCAAACCACTCCAGTAGCTTTGCCAAGAAGACCCCAAATGGGGTCAGGGAGAGTCTGACATGACTGAAACAACTCAGCAACAGCTCTTACAATGGTAAGAGGTCTTAGGGAAATGGGTACATGTGGTATGAGGTCTCTAGATGAAGAAAGAAGTACCAAGTTTAGTAAGCTCAACTTTACCCATCGTCTCTCTGATGTACAAGTTATGCAGAAGTATACCTGAAACATCCAGTGACAAAGATGGTGTTCTTTCCTGGTAAGATAGGGAGGTAGGGAGAATCCCAGTATTCTACCCTGTGGCCCTGGACAAGTCACCAAACTCTGTGGGTTGGACTGGATAATCTCCTGTTACTTCCAAGTCTAAATTCTATGTTCTTAATCCCCGTATAGAGGTGATCTCAACATAATCAAAGGGTGATTCTACCTCTCTTCTTCATTCTATCATCCGCTATTCTTACCCCCCTAGGTATCACCGATTGTATAGGAGTGGGGGAGGCCACACATAGAGGCACATATCATCATCTTCTCTCCCTCCCCCCCACTTCTCTCTTCATCTAAAGTTTTATTTAAGCCTTCCGTGATTGATCAGATAGGTGTGATAAGTTTTCCTACCCTCCCAGGACTTAGTACTCCCATTCCCTTTTACTCCTCTCATTCCGACCCAAGTCCTAATTCTGTACTTATTGTCACTCTTTAAAGAACACATTCCTTTTTTTTTTGCCTTTTTTTTTTTTGGTGAGGCAATTGGGGTTGTCCAGGGTTACACAGCTAGTAAGTGTCATGTGTCTGAGATCACATTTGAACTCAGGTCCTCCTGACTCCAAGGTCAGAGCTCTATCTACTGTGCCACCTAGCTGCTCCTAAGAACACTTATTCTTGACCTATATTTCCTATTCCACTTAGGTCCCTTCCAGCTCTAAATCTGTGACTCTGTGTGATCCTTAGATATCGAGTAATTATTGTTTGCTTCTTTATCAGTCTATTGCTTGGATTTCCTAAGCTTTGTGGCCTTGGGTGAGTCCCTTTGCCTTTCTGAGTGTCAGTTTCCTCATCTTTAAAATGGGGTCAATGACTCCTACCATGTCATAAGATTGCCTCTTTGTTAACCCTAAGGCACTTTGTCAGCTATTATGATGATCCATCTTTCTATGCCTTATTTGTCCACATGAATGTATCTGGCTGAGACTGCAATCTCCTAGGAGCAGGGATTGTGTCTATACAGGTGCACCTCCCCTCAAGAATACTAGGTGAAAAATACAGGTTTTAATCATATAAATTGGGGACAGGGAGTTGATTGGAAGGGAAGGGTAATGGGGAGAGAATCTCCACTTAATGGTAGGATTTGCACAGGGTTCTGATACAAATCCAACTGCCTATATTTAAAGTAGGACTCGCTATACAAATGTTTGACTTCTGTAGACTCTTTCAGGAACACACATACAGGGCAAAGCCACACAACAAGGTGTTCCTCACAATTGTTTTGGTGAAGATGAAGATAAGAATGATAAAAGTGAACATATGGTCTTAATTCAGAATTTTCCCCAAAGGGAAAAAGGGTAAAAAGGGTTATGTTTAGTTTACCTCTTAACTTGTTACTTTTCCCATAAGCAGTCACTAGTTGGGTTTGGCAGCACATCCCTCAATCAGTCAATCAATAAGCATTTATTAAGCATCTGTTATATTCCCAGGCACTGAGCTGGGTGCTAGAGATACAAAGTTGTTGTTTGACCTTTGTTTTGGAAGAGGGCCAGTGGAGATAAAGAGATAAAATAGAAACAACGAATCCCCTCTAGGAATTTATCTTCCATCAGGGCAGACTGGTCACATTGAAGTAGATACAAAACTAATCCAATTCCTTGGTGCAGGAGACACTAGGACCTGCTGAGTGTATGGGTTCAAATCAAGAAGGGCTTCATGTAGGAGTTGGCATTCGAGGTGAACTTGCTGCTGACCTGGGGAAGACATTGGCTGGATGGAAAACACTGTGATAACATATTAAGGGGAGCAGCCTGTCAAGAAGCCCAGGTATCTGGAAATCAACTCCCTCCTTCCAATGCACAAGGGAAGAAGGCAACTAACTGCCTTTCTCAACCTTACAGCTTGCAAAGGAAAAGCCAGAAATTTTTTTTAAAAAAAGAATGCTATGCAATGCAATGATCTAAGATAATTCCAAAAGACTCATGATGCTATCCACATCCAGAGAAAGAACTACGAAGTCTGAATGCAAATCGAAGCATACTATTTTCTCTTCTTTTGTTTTTGTTTTTTCTTTCTCATGGTTTTCCCCTTTTGTTCTGATTCTTCTTTCACAACACAACTAATGCGGAAATATGTTTAATGTGATCATACATGTATGGCCTATATCAGATTGCATGCCGTCTTGGGGAGGGGAGAGTGAAGGGAAGGGGAAAACATTTAGAACTCAAAATCTTATAAAATAGAATGTTGAAAACTAAAAATAAATGAATAATTTTAAAAAGGGGAGAAAAAGAATGCTATGAGGCAGCTAGGTGGCACAGTAGATAGAACACTGGCCCTGGAGTCAGGAGGACCTGAGTTTGAATGTGACTTCTGACACTTGACACTTACTAGCTATGTGACCCTGGGCAAATCACTTAACCCCAATTGCCTGGAAAATAAAGAATGTTGCCCCGATTTTAAACACATCTGGCATGGATATGACTATAGTCAAGACGGATTATGAACAACAAGCCAAGAAGATGCTAGGATTAATGGAAAACTCAGAAAGCAGAAATTCTAAGAAATGCAGGTGAAGAGGGAGCACCTGTTCAAAGGGATGGAAGTAGGAGATGCAATGCTACATGTGAGGACCAGTTTGGCTGGACCAGAGTGTATGAAAGGAACTAATGGAGGAGCAGCCTAGAAGGGTAGGTTGGAGGCAGATTGTGAAAGGTTTAAAATGCCAAATAGAGGATTTGTATTTGTGTTTGATTAGGAAGCCACCAGAAGTGAAACCTAGAAGAAATGGAGCCAAGGAATGACATGATCAGACCTTTGGGACTTTGACACCCCTTTGACAGCTGTATAGAGGATGACTTGGAGACAAGAGACACCCATAGTCCCTCCTGCCTGCATTTTTTCCTGGTCCCCAAACTGGCCCCCACCCCAACTCAACCCCACAGAAGATGGATCACATCTTATCACCAGCCCCACCCTCCTCATTGCAGGAGCCCTGCCAAAAATTCACATGGGTATCTTCCTATGTCTGCAGCTATTGGTTGTGTGAGGCTGAGGAATTCATTTCTGGGAATGTCACAAGAGGACATCCCACGGCAGGTAAGGCTTATGAAATATCTGGATAAATCACACACACTGCTGCCTGGCTACTTGCCAACAACCACAGCTCCTCTGAAAGCCCTAAGGCTTTAATGAACCTACAAAAGGCTCCCATCCCTCCAGATCTCAACAGAGGTTCTGACTCCTCCACCCCACATTTTCCCCTGTACAACTGACCAGGTAAGTAAAGATCTCTGGGCTTCCCTTATTTTCAGCTTGGCCAAAAAGGCCCTGGTGCAAGACCGGTCTTTCCCTTATTCTGGCCTGGACTGTAGTTAGATAAGAAGAAGAGATGAAGGGAGAAAGAAGGGAGGAGGCATGGCTTTTCCTGTAGGATGCAGGAGGGAGCCCGCAATGTCAAAGGAGACAAAGATTCGAAAGAAGAATAGAGGCCACTGATGACATTAGTGGTCCAGAATTGGCTAGGTTTGAGAAAGAGAATGGAAGCAGCTAAAGCAGACCTGGTTCTTGCTGCTCCCAGATCTGAGCTTCTGCTTTCTTTACTTCTTAGAGGCTGTTAGGTAGAACAGGGGATAGAGTGCTGGACCTGAAATCAGGGAAGACAGAGCTTAAATCTGGCCTCAGACACTGACTAGCTATGTGACCCTGAGTAAGTCACTTAACCATTGTCTGCCTCAGTTTCCTCTTCTATGAAATGAGGATAATTAAAGCACCTACCTACCAGGGTTCTTGTGAAGATCAAATGAGATATTTGTAAAACAATAATAATAATTAACATTTACATAGTACTTACTATGGGCCAGGCACAATGCTAAGCCCTTTGCAATTATTAGACAAACAGAGATTGAGTAACTTGTCCAGGGTCACACAGCCAGTAAGTGTCAGAGGCTGAAACTGAATTCAGGTTTTTCTGATGCCAGACCCAGCACTGTAAAGCTGTCCCAAACTTAGCAAACCTTAAAGTGCTGTTTGTGTGTGTATGTATATGTACACATATGAGTATATACACATATATGTATGTGTGTGTATTATATATATGTATGTGTGTGTGTGTGTGTATACATACATATGTATTTTTTCTTTTTTTTCTTTTTGAGGCAATTGGGGTTGGTACTTGCCCTGGGTCACACAGCTAGTAAGTGTCTGAGGCCAGATTTGAACTCAGGTCTTCCTGACTCCAGGGCTGGTGCTTTATCCACTGTGCCACCTAGCTGCCCCTGTTATATATATTTATACACACACACACACATATGTGTTTTATATTTGAACTCAGTTTATATATACACATATGTATGTTTATATATATAAATATATATAAACTGAGTTAAAATTAAGTCTATAAATTTATATATATACATATGTATGTATGTGTATGTATATATGTATACATACATATTTTTATATTTGAACTCAGTTTGTATATGTACACATATATTTACATATAAACTGATTTCAAATCCAGCTTATAAAAATAATGTATGTGTGTGTATGTGTATATGTATATATATGTGTGTGTATGTATGCATGTATGTATGTGTGTATACACACACAGAAGTGTTCTTGTGGCCAATGGCCGAGGAAGAGGTGGGCTGTTAATATTCTCTCATTTGCTTGTTTTTTACTGGTGGTGGTCTTGGAGGAAGGGTGTTAATTCACCTGGTGAAGTTGGTTGGACCATGCCCGGAAAACCATGGGTTTGTCATGGGAGGATGAGGCAGTGAATTTTTCGAGCTGGTTAGATGGGAACAGCTCTGGAAATCTGAGGTATGATTTGTCACCAAAACCTTGGCAATTAGGTCCACAATTCCTGGGGACTGGGAGTAGCTTCTTAATTTCTGTCCTGAATACCAAACCCCACACTGCACCAAACAAACAGAATATACAAAGACAGAAACAATTTAAATGAAGATAAATCTAAAAGACAACAGAATTCAGGTCAGATATAATGCTTATTGATGGGTTCCCAGGATTGAAATGAAAACTTTTTTTTCTCAATTAAGAAATGGTAGATTATAAGTGGAAAATTGTGTGTGCTCTCCATCAAAATGTCTATTTTTATCAAGTGGCACAAGCTCTGATTTTAGGACCTGGGTTCAAATCCTATCTGACCTTTACTACCTGTGAAATCTTGGACAAGTCATATAATAACTCTTGGCCTCAGTTTCCATATCTGTAAAATGAGAGGGTTGTGGTAGATGGCCTCTCAGGTCCTGCCCAGCTGTTGATTTATGATTCTTTGAATGTTATTGATTTTCCCCACCCCCGTCCTATGGAGGTGGGTTGCTTATTGGGAAGTGATTGATGCGTCACACTAAAGTGTATCAATTAAAAAAAATTCTGCTTGTTCATTTTGCAGGGTCCCCCGCTGAGCACCAAGGGACAGGCCCCTGTAGCCTCGACTTTCTGCTCTGTTCTCTTCCAGGTCGGGTTCATAAGCAGTATTGATGTCTCAGCAGCGGCAACAGCAGCCCTTTCCCAAGAGCCCTACTCCTCCCTGCCCAGCCCCTTGCTCAGCCCCCTGCACAGCTCCCTGCTCAGCAACCTGCGTGGTCCCTAGGTCTGGAGGTTGCTGTCTCATAAACCGGAGGCCCGGGGCACAGAGTACCTGCTGCAGGGGAAGTCAAGGGCAGCTCCCCAGGGCCACTCGGAGAAGGCCCCGCTGCCTCCAAGGGGACACCTACTATCATTGTAAAGAGGAGGAATGCTAGGTGTCAGTGCCCCTAAGTGGAGGGTCCCAGGTCGCAGGTCTAGGGGATTGGGGGAGGGTGTGGTGAACTGCAGTGGGTATTAGAGAATCTTCTACTGGCTCCTCTAAAGAAATTAGATGCTAACTTTTAAAAAGATGCCTGGAAGTCTTTCTTCTTCTGGTAAAGAAGCCACCTTCATTGCAAGTACCTTGATGGAGAGAACTAAATAAAGAAGGATTTACTTTCTCTTCCTTGTCTTCCGGCTAAATAACAATAACATTTCTCTGTTATGAACTCATTGGCCTCCAAGGTATCCTTGTGTTCTTCATTCATATACTTTGTCTCTAATCACACCTACTCCACTTGGTTGCTTTGTCCTAAGGAAATCTTTATTTTTTTGGGGGGGCAATTGGAGTTAAGTGACTTGCCCAGGGTCACACAGCTAGTAAGTGTCAAGTGTTTGGGCTGAGGTCGGATTTGAACTTAGGTCCTCCCTACTTCAGGGCTGGTTCTCTATCCGCTGCACCACCTAGCTGCCCCTGTCCTAAGGAAATCTTATGTGTTTTTAAGAAGCAGTTAATCTGTGGGCTCATAGGATTTAAAAACAGAAGCAGTCTTCTTGATCCCCTTGTCCAACCTACTTATTTTACAGGTGATGAAACGAAAAGTCAGAAAGTCTTCATGGCACAGTGAAGTCTTGGTTATTTGTTGTCACTCTTTTTCAGTCATGTCTGACTCTTTGTGACCCCATTTGTGGTTTTCTTGGCAAAGATACTGGGGTGGTTTGCTGTTTTCTTCTCCAGCTCATTTGGCAGATGAGTAAACTGAGGCAAACAGGGTTAAATGACTTGCCCAGAGTCACACAGCTAGTGTGGATGGATTTGAACTTAGATCTTCCTGACTCCAGGCCCAGTGCTCTATCCACTGTCCCATCTAGCTACCCTAACTCTGACTCAGGAGTCAGAGGACCTGGGTTCAAATCCTGACTTTCCACTTTCTACCTGTGTAACCTAGAGTAAGTCACTTAACCTCTGGGGGTCTTAGTTTCTCATCTATAAATGAGGAGTTGTTTTAAATGGCCTTTGAGATACCTTCTTGCTCTAGGTCTATGACATATAGCCGGGCATATAAAATTACAGGCAGTAACCAGCAGATTTGAACCCAAGTTTTCTGACCTGAGTCCAGGTCTTATGACTACTCATAGTTAGAAATCACATCTAGTTAGAGAGTACTTTAAGGGTTTACAAAGCACTTTCCTTACAGTTATAACCCATGAGGTTATTATATATATCATTCAACCTTTTACCAGCATGTGACTTCATGGGAGGTGCTCCCCTTATTGTCACAGATAGAAACTCACTCTCTTGTATATAGTTTTTTGTCTTTCGAGAACTGCCCTACTATGGCCAGACTGGTGATTAGCTTCTCCAAGCTTAGTGAGCCTGGCTCTTGGATGTCAGCTGTAAAATCATATGAGATAGGAAGGAAAGAGGTTGTGTAGACTGTTTTGTTGTTAAGGTGTTTTCAGTCATTTCTGAATCTTCATGACCCCATTTGGGGTTTTCTTGGCAAAAATGCTGAAGTGGTTTGCTTTTTCTTTCTTCAGTGAATTAGGCAAACAGCGGCCAAGTGACTTGCCCAGGGTTACGCAGCTAGTAAGTGTCTGAGGCTAGATACGAACTCAGGTCTTCCTGACTCCAGAACGAAACACTCTATCCAATCCAGCACCTAGCTGCCCTGGTTTTCTTTACATCCCAGCTAAAATTTCACCTTCTACAAGAAGTTTTTCTTGGATCACCTTAATATTAGCAGTGCCTTCCCTCTTGTTCATTGTCTCCAATTTATTCTGTGTAACTCTTATTTGGGCAGCTAGGTGGTGCAGTGGATAGACTGCTGGGCCTGGAGTCAGGAAGATGAGTCCTCCATTTCCTTCTCTACCTCATTTGACAGATGAGGAAACTGAGGCCAGCCTGGCCTCAGACACTTACCAACTGTGTGATCCTGGGCAAGTCATTTAACCCTGTTTGCCTCAGTTTCCTTGTCTGTCAAATGAGCTGGAGAAGGTATTCCAGTATCACTGCCAAGAAAACCCCAGATGGGGTCATGGACAGTTGGACACAACTGAAATGACTGAACAACAACTACAAGAACAAATTCTTGTTTGTTCACAGATATTTGCCCTTCGTCTCCCACATTAGATTGTGAGCTCCTTGAGAGTAGGGACTGTCTTTTGCATTCTTTGTGTCCCCAAAGCTCAGCACAGTGCCTAAAACATGGTAGGTGCTTAATCAATGGTCACTGATTGTTTGACTCTCTGAGCACCAAGCCTTCCATGTTCTGAGAGTCTCATTGCCAGAAGGCCAGCCACCACTTTATGATTTTTTATTTTTGGCTGAACCACCTATGAAACAAAGAAATGGAAGGATTATAATCTGTATTGGTGAATGGAGTACCTAAATATCTGAAATCATGGGTCTTTTGGAATACTGAATTTTAAGAAGTATCCAGAATAAAGGAGCTAATAGTATCTGTACTCTGCGGTGATCAGATCATATGTGTCACATTCTTTTCAGTTTGGGGCACATAGCTCAAGAAGGGCATGGACAAATCAAGGTGTAATCAGGGTGATGAGATCTGAAATCACATCCCAATACAAATGATTGAAAGAATGGGATATCCAGCCTAGAAAAGAGAATTTCAGAATCTTAGGATCGTAATTTTGAAGCTAAAAGGGACCTCAGAGGTCACGTAGTTCAACCCCTCATTTTATAGATAAGGAAACTAGAGCATAGGGAGATTAAATGACAAGAGTCTTGGAAGGGATATGATAACTATCCTCAAATATTTAAAGGGCTATCACATGGGAACGGGTGTAGACTTATTGAGAATGAGGACCAATGGGTGGAAATTACAGGAAGTCAATTCGGATATAAGGAAGAGCTTCCTAACAATTATTAGTGTCCAAAAATGGAATGGGGTGACTCATGAAACAGTGAGCTCTATCACTTGAAATATTCAAGCAGAGGTTGAATGGCAATCCATCAGGAATGCTACCATGTGGTTCCTTTGGAGATTAGGAGGTTGGACTAGAAGAGATCCATTTTTTCCAGTTTTAAGATTTTATGAGTCTAAGGTTGGACAAATCTATGATGCTAATATCCTACAAATCAAAGATTCAGTGATCCTAATTATTGATTATTCTGTGATTTTAAGACAAAGATTCCATTATTCTAATAACTTTGCTTTTACTATTACAATATAGTTCCTGGGGACCACCAGACTTTCAGAAAGCATCAGATAGTTTTGAGTGTGGTGGATACCCTCACTTTGTTCTTGAAGGGTTGACCAGGTAAGAACGTGGGTCTCCAAATCAACCCCAACACTTGTCATTTTAGTCATTGTGTCTTTATTGTTTTGATTCTTGAAGGCTTTTCCATCATTCCTTCTCATGGTGATCACTAGCCTTGGAATTGCCTAGATTACTACTTGGCATTTAGCCTCAAGCTTTCTGGTATTGACGTCTTTGCGTGTTTGTGTTCGGTCTTCCCAACCACATCATAAGCTTTTCATGGCAGGGGCCATGTCTTGTACTTTGCCTCTCCTTGGATCATAGGGTCATAGATTTATATCTGGAAGGGATCTTAGAAGTCACTGAGTCCAATCCCCTCATTTTTCAGAAGAGGAAACTGGGACTCAAAAAGGTTAAGTCTTTTGTCTAGAGACATGCAGCTAAACAAGAGCCCAAGGCAGATTTGAATCCAGATTTTCCTATTTCCAAGTCCAATACTCTATCCACTATCCAGAGGGTGGGGAACCTGCGGCCTTGAGGCCATATGTGGCCCTCTAGGTCCTCAAGTGCAGCCCTTTGACTGAGTCCAACCTTTGCAGAACAAATCCCCTTAATAAAAGGATTCGTTCTGTAAAACTTGGACTCAGTGAAAAGGCCCCACCCAAGGAGGCTGCAGGTTCCCCACCCCTGGTCAAGAGCATAGTCCTTAGGAGCCCAATACAACTTTCCTTCATAAAATGCCTGTAACAGCATCCTGATTGCTGTCCTCTGGATATGTTCCAGTTTATCAATGAACCTTATTAAGATGAGTCACTCAGAATTGAACACAATGCTTCAGATGTACTCAGACCAGGTGAGAAGACTGAAAGACTAACAACTTCTTTATTCTGGGCTCCATGAGTCTCTTAATACAGTCTAAGATCAGAACAGCTTTTTTTCTTTTTGTCATACTGTTGACATACATTGAACTTTCAGTCCACTAAAATGTCCAGATCTTGCTTCAGAGGAACTGTTACCTAGCCACACCTTCCTTTATCTTACTTTTGTCAAAGTGATAATTTTACCCTAAGTATCAGGCTCTACATTTATCTTTATTAAATGCCATTTTGTGAAATTTCATCAATCATTTTCTCTGGGTGAAGTTTTTGGATCCTGATTTTGTCATTCAGGATGTTAATGTTTGCTATCTCTCCTAGTAGTGTGTCCTTTCTAAATTTGACAACTATGCCACCTCTGCCTTCATCTGTCATTAATAAGATTATCGAATAACGTAGAAATAAGCAGAAATTCCTGAACCCCTGAACTAGAAGCCCTCTTCCCACAGGATGACTTTGAACTATTTATGACAAATCCCACCAGGTGCCCCATTCAAAATCTACCAAACTATACTACTATCTAGCTAAAATGATAGTTCTGATCAAAACAATTGCCAACTATGATTCTGGAAGGCTGATGATGAAGTATACTACC